GTCCTTGAATCTCATAAGCCGAACTTCATTAGACTTGAACTCAACTTAATTAGCAAATAAACTTATATATTTTGCTAAAGCTCAACTTGAAACTCGATTTAAACCAAACTGAATTGAGTTTTTCACAAACAAAACTCAAATAACTTATGAAAAACTAGGATAATGTCAACACCTACAAGCAAATATATTCTACAGTTTGCATGCTTAAATTGTCTTTCCAACTGTTCACCTTTTCCTTCATTCCTTTGTGAATTAAGTTGTGTTTGGGTTAAGTAGTTGGATGGTTCAGGTTGACAACTAGTTAACCACACAACCTACAAACTGCTTGGTGCTGAGGTCCACTCAATTCACATAAAATTGAAGGAAAAAGTGAACAGTTGGAAAGACATTTAAGCATGCAAACTGTATAACTATAGAATATATTCGCTTGTAGGGACATTAAATGATTTTTTTCACGAGTTAATTCCAGTTCATCTCGTGGAAAGCTCGATTTTGTTCGATTTAAATTGAGTTTTGAGTTGGGCTCAAGCCAAATATGCAAGTTCATTTGCTAATTAAGTCAAACTTGAGTCTAATTAAACTTGGTTCATAAGCTTAATCAAGTATATATTATATATAATATTTTTAATTTTTATATATAATAATAAATAATTTTCATATGTATATATTTTTATTTTTTATATGAAACTTAACTCATTATCGAGCTTTTATTAAGTTGAATTCAAATTCGAGCTTGAGCATAATGTTTTTCTAACAAGTTAAGCTGAATATCCAAATACTCGGCTCGGTTTGAATCCATACCTATTCGCTTAAAGGGAAGATTCATACGTTAAGATTGAAAGAAAACCTTGAGGCAAATGCCCTCTCTTTCTTTTGAAGTGATACAATTCCTTTCTAGAGATAATACTTGAGGCCATGTTTGTTTGAGCCATAAATGAGAACCGGGATAAATTATACATCCCAGTAAAATTTTGCATGTGTTCGGTAGAAGTGTTAATACACTTCATAAATGGGTGTAAAAAATCCACCCTCGTCATTATTTTTCTTGTCAATACTTTCCTCGAAAATTGGTGAAAAGTTTATATCAATGTAAAACTTCATCTCTTTAAAATTGGATGAAACTTCTTTCTCTCTCCATACGAAAATAGGGCCTAAGGCTTCTATCCTCTCGTACTTTTCTCCTTGAAGAAATCATTCCAAATCCAAGGCAGGGGTTTCGGCATCATGAAAAAGCAAACCATCAACAACCAAAAAACTAAAACCGGTGAGAACACAAGCATTCACTGGTTAACACCTCTCAGCTGGGTTTGAAAAGAAATCTTTGATTCTGACAGGAGAAAACAAACCGGCGAGAAAACGAACAACCATCGTCATCAATGGTTGTCTTTGAGATTCTAAGCAGAGAAAACTAAGGTGAAAATATGAACAACCGTCACCAACAGTGGTCATCTTTAGATTATAAGCGGAGAAAACTAAAACCAATGAGAATATGGGCAATAATCATCGTCTCTCATAAATGCAACCTGAGGGAATTTGAGTTATTAGATTTTGAAATTCCTTTTTTCTTCTTTGTGTTGAGTCGTTTTTACAAATTTCCAATATTGGATTATGGGCAAAATAAATTCCCTATACTCTCAACTCTCAAGATCCATTTAGGCGGTGCTCATCAAATTGATTGTGTGAAAATATAGTGGATAGACCATTTCGGTTCATTCCAGGATTGAAAGAGGCACTAAGTTTCTTTGTGGAACATTTGCAAATTGCAGTGAACGTATCACAATATATATTCCACTAGTATTTATCATGGTTTGGTCCACACGATAGCGTGGATGATTGAATTTTATAAATTCAGTGTTACACCCTCTTACTTACAACCCACATTTCTATTTTTATTATTTTAAAATAATTTATAAATTAAAATTAATTTCAAAAGCATCATTTTTAAAAATATTTGAAATAACTTTTTTAATTTTTTATTAAATTTTAACAAATAATTTTGTAACTAAGATTTTATTATTTTTAATCATGATTAATTTGTATTATTTTTCCACTATTTATCTTATTTACAAAAATATTATAATTTTTACAATAGTGCAAATCATCTCATATATTAGTGCAAGGTTTGGCTGAATGCGACTGCTATTCAGCATGCCGTGGAACTAATGAAGGTTTCATGCTAGTATTTAAATACATGGGGCCTACACCTTTCATAGTGAAGCCCATGAATTTATTATCACCTCATCATTGGTTCGACATCGTGGTGAATTAAGCTAATATGAATTCCATATATTATATATGAGATATATAGAATCAAAATACAAGGTGTGAGTTGAACCAAACTATAGCTGCAAAACACTTCGATGGTTTCTTTATGCTTAAAAAACATTTATACTTGATTTGTCTTCAAACTGATAAAAGTATTTGATAAATCATTTATTGACAATTAAGCTCCATTAGGCACCACATCAACGAAATAATGAATAAATGTTCAACCGTTGGAATTCAAATCAGCCTCCCACAATGTCCCACAGCACATCCTCACCATGTATTGGGAACATCGCCCGATGATAACACCATCATTTCTGATACTATCATCGAGAGATGTTCTCAATACACAACGGCAGGGGCAGAGCTAGGGGGGACCCGGGGGAGCCATGGCCCCCCCTATGGTCCAAAAATTTACACACTCAATACAGTTTTTCTATGTAAGTTTGTTCCCTCCCCTCACTTTTCACCCAATGGTTGGCCCCCTCTATGGTCCATCCATAAGTTTTGGCCCCCCTCAAAAAAATCCTGTCTCTGCCCCTACACAACGGGGATATGATGTGGAACGTTGTGGGGGGCTGATTTGATCTCTAACCGTTGAGAAAAGCGTTAAAATAAAGTTTTCCCGAATGATTGATGTACACATAAATCATGACCAACTTAATAAATATCTATACATATTAATAAATATAATGAGAAAAATACTAATTTAACGATGAAATAATAGTTTTTATCAAAACGCCTTTCACAAAGCGCCCGGAGAATCAAACATACGCAGAATAATCCTTTCATGAAGAGATTTCTAACAATAATTGGATTATATCAACAGATTTGGAATCCTTCCATTTTAGGGGAAAGAAAATTTTCTTCCACTGTCAGTCATGTTGATAAAAGCCCAAACCCAACGTCGGGGTTGATCTATTGGACGGTTTGGACCAGTGTGGCCGAGGTCACGCCAGGCCCAAATTCTGAACCGGATAAAATGAGAAGTCCAAACTCCCAACCCAACTCAGCAGGAGATGAGGATGAACGAACATATCTCACCGTCTCATCCCCTCATCATCCAATATACAAACGGACGAACGGAAAGGACTGAACCTGTCTCATCAATGAATTGTCGCTTTTTGCCTTCCCAAAGTAAGTGTCCTGTCATTGTGTCAATTGACAATTGGACTTCTCTACACTTCTGCCCGAAACCCTGGGTTTTTCCACAGTTTTTAGACAAGATCTCAAAGCTGACACCGACAGAACTAGAACATTCAAACTTCATCCATGAAGACCTTCCACGCACAGACACACTATCGAAGATTCGTCACGATTTGAAGACTTTGGACTATTTGTTTCCTTGGATAGGAATCTATCCACCTGATTGTGCGGATACTTTGGGTCACGAAACCATCCATAATTCCCTGATTGAGATTCCTTACTTCCCCCTTTTTTTCTTTTTGCTTCATGAATCATGGGCCTACACAACAGGGGTAGCCCATCTCCTTTCCCTTAAGCCCCCCCAAGTGGCCCCAACCCCTGGTGGTGGTGGCAGCGGGATTTGATCCCAGTCTCTTCATTCATGCTTGATTGAGCTTTGGCACACACTTCATTCATGCTTGCTCCCAGAAGACGACCAATAACCGTCCTGGAGTTAGCTTGTTTCATACGAAACAAGCGGTCGTCCCTTTCTTTGTTTTGGACCCAGATTTCAGTAATTAATAGCGTTATGACACCTGTCAATTAAGTTAACACGTGTCTAGATACAAGGATGATTGGATCATCCGAACTTTCGAATCGACAGGAACATGTTAGCTAGACTTGAGATCGTGGATTCGTGGTTCGTCAGTGTTGTCGTCTTTCGTCCCGGATTAAAAGGAAGTAAATAGAAAGAAATAGTTGCCACGTGGACATCATATACTTACCACGTGGCAAATAAAAAGAAACCCTGATTACTTCATAATTAAGCCTTAAATAACGAAATATTTGAAGTAGTTAGTACCTGCCTGCCTGCTACTCACATGGCTGGCATCGTGGTGTTCCATCTTTCTCCATTAGAATATCACATCGACGGTTGGAACATTTTTATCTGGAATCGATAAAGTGAAATTTTCTTGGACTTAAAGTTAAAAGCGGAAGTCGCATACTCGCACATGGGCGGGCCCCATTTTGGGCTACAAAAATAAGTAAAATACACAGATCTCCGCGTTGAAAATTAGCGCAACCCGACGGCCGAAATTACCCAGAAGAAATGGATTCCTTTTTGAAGTAAGAGATATCTTATAGTATTTACCCTATCTAAGTTCGTTTCTATATTTAAATATGCTTTGACTTGAACTTTTTACAGAAATAAAATAAGATAATGGTCTATTTATCCTCGAGAGAAAAATAAGAAAAATAAAAAATAGAAAACCGTTAAAGGAATCGATTAACAACGGCGGATTGTCCGTCTCGCTCGTTCTTGTGGCCTTACAGTCTGTCTCTGTCATATATGACTCTGTGGTCTCCCACCGTCTCTAGCTTCCCACCGCCCTCTCTCCTCTTTATCTTTTAGAACCCAACGGCTTTTTAAAAGCTTCCCTTCACCCAATCACTCTCGTCAATTTGTAAACTCGAGATACTCTCTCTGTCTCTCTGTTTCCTTGTTAAAATTACAAACTGCTTCTCTTCTTCTCTTCTTCTCTTCTTACTACTCTGCTCTAGTACTCCGATTAAATCCTGGTTTACTTCTGTGTTTCTGTTATCTCAAGATGGATCTAATTCCATGTCTTCCTGATGAGATTGCCCGTGAATGCTTAATACGCGTTCCTTACAACCAGTTCTCCACTCTCTCGGCTGTCTCCAAAGGTTGGAAAGAAGAGGTGGAGTCGGTGCAGTTTCACCAGCAGAGGAAGGCCGGAGGGTTGAGCCGAGCCATCGTTGCCCTTACGCAAGCTGAACAGAACCGAGCGTCCCCTGCGCTAAAGTACCCTGCGACGCCTGCCTACCGGCTTACGCTTTTTGAACCTGCCACTGGATCGTGGAGTAGCCTGCCGCCGGCCCCTGGGTTTCCCGACGGTTTGCCGTTGTTCTGCCAGTGCGCTGGGGTTGGACGGAATCTGGTGGTGATCGGCGGGTGGAACCCGACGACGTGGGAAGTATCTAAAGCGGTGTTCGTTTTCGATTTCATGTCCGGCAAATGGCGCCGTGGGGCTGACATGCCGGGGGGGTCTCGATCGTTCTTCGCCTGCGCGTCGGATTCTGATCGGAAGGTTTTCGTAGCTGGCGGGCATGATGACGAGAAGAACGCACTGAACTCTGCAATGTCTTACGATCTGGCAAAGGACGAGTGGGCCCCGCTTCCCGACATGGAGAGACAGCGAGACGAGTGCAAAGGGATTTTCCACGCTGGCAAATTCCACGTCATCGGCGGGTATTCCACGGATATGCAGGGACGGTTTGAGCGGAGTGCGGAGGTTTTCGATGTTGCCACGTGGCAATGGAGCAAGGTTGAGGAGGACGTCCTGGACACAGGCTCGTGTCCGAGGACTTGCGTGGCTGGGACGGAGGGGAAGTTTTACAGGTGTAAGGCTGGTCACGTGGCAGTTCTAGAAGGCGTCATGTGGAGGTCAGTGGCCGAGTTACCGGCTGACATTCGCTTGTCACCGAATTTGCTGACATGGCAGGGAAATCTACTGGTGCTAGGGATGGCCAAGTACGGTGGGCCCTATGCAACGTACGTATTGGAATCGCCGAATTATACATGGAGAAAGGTGGAGACGCCGGAGGAATATTCCGGCCACGTTCAGGCCGGCTGTTGCTTGGAGATGTAATAATATTTATTCATCTAATAATCCTTCTTGTACAAAGAAACCAAAATTTGATGGTTGTAATTGAGTGAGATATGCACATACGTCAGTCTGAGTTTCTCAATTCCATGAATTTTTTTTTATAGTTTTAATTTAACTTGAAGAAGACGGAAATAGTTTCATACTTTCATTTGAATGGGCTATTAATAGAAGAAAGCTATAACAATTCCCACGTTCTGAAATCAAAGACGAGAAAAAATTTTAGAAAGTCTGAAAAATCTAAATCGAATCCAGAAACGTCACAAGCGGGGAACGGGGGATCGACGTCATCGGGAGAATTGAGTTTCTAGTTTATAATAGAAGGATTAATTTTAGAATTCAATGATGGTCAAAAACATACAAACAAATGACAATGGGAGCTAGTATCGAATGACCGGATTGTATAAAATCCAGAACTAATCCAGATCTTCTTAAGTTGAACTCTTCAACTAGTTCATTTGTTTATAGAAACTAGAACTAGTTGAAGAGTTCAGCTATGAACTAAGGATCTGGATTAATTCTGGGTTTAAACACTCCGGTCATTTAGATTAATTCTGGTTTCAAACAATCCGGTCATTTGGATTAACTCTGGGTTTAAACAATCCGGTCATTTGGATTAATTCTGATTTCTAGTTTCTATTTTCCGTTTTCTAGTAGTAGTTGCATTGCATTATTTGAAAACGGAAAGTAGAAAGTAGAAAGCTCCGTGCTATTGGAGTAAGAAGATTTTCATTGTTAGCTAAACGCAATAAGTCAAACCAGAGGGAGTTCTTGACTTCTGTTTATTTTCGAATTCTAAGGACACCAGCTGAGAATGTTACCCCATATACTGAGGAATCTGGATCAGATGTAGATCCAATGACTGACTGCCATCTGTTCTTTGTTTATTATTTATTTCATTTTTTAAAATTGCACGCTCTTTATTTCTCTCTAACCCCATCTTTATTCCCTAAACCCTAATCTTGAACAAAGCTATCTCTATTGGGAATAGCAAATTTGGATTTAATCCTCGCACCATCCCCATAGCCCTTGTAGCCCTACATTAGCTTGTGAATGTTTTTAAGAGAGATTCCAAATAGGGGTAAGCAAAAAAAAATTGAAAAACCGAATTTATTGAAAAAATCGACCGAAACCGAATCAGAAAATTGGTTAATCGAATCAGTTGGTTTAGTTTTGAATGGTGTTTTTAAAATCTAAAAGTATTGGTTTGGTTTTGATTAACCAATATAAAAAACTGATGGTTAATCAAACCGATCGGCATACATATATTTTTATATATTTTATAAATTAATAAATATGCATTATATATATAATATATTGTAAAAACAAAAAAACTAACAAACCAATGAATCAAACCGATAGTTAATTGAGCCGATCAACCGATTAATTGATAGATTTTGGTTACCGGTTTTTCAAACCAATACTATTAGTTTGATTACAAAAAATTCCTCACAGTTAAATTTTGAGAGTGCTTAAAAATGATTATTTATTTGGATAAATATTTAATTTGAGCCGAGACCACACCAATAAACACTTATTTACATTTGAAAAATAAGTCTAAAATTAATGCTTATTCTTGAAAAACTCAAATTTTAAATTTATTTTTAAATACTTATTTCCTTTTTGACTTATCTTGATCCGTCATCCGCTGGTATTCCACGAATTTTCCATGCTGGCAAACACTGAAGTCTACAATATCTTGATCCGTCATGTCATTTTTTCCATAAGCACTGCCAAACTTTGCCACAATTGAGAGTAATGGAGAAACAGTGAGCTTATAAGTAGGGGTGGATTCGAGTCGAGCCGAGCCGAATAGTACCAGGCTCGAGCTCGGCTCGAGACTATTCTATAAGGCTCGAGCTTGAGCTCAAGTTCAGTTCGAGCCAGAACATTGAGCTCGAGTTTGGCTCGAGTCAAAAGTTTATAAGCTCGAGCTCGGCTTGACTTGGCTCGTTTTATATTTTATAAAAATATTTATTATATATTTTATTATAAAAATAAAAATTATATATAAAAAAGTATTTTATATTTAAAAATTAAGAATTATAATTGATGTAACCGTTTCTGGTCACGTACCAATTTTTTGTGATGTATAAAAATTTTTTTGGCTAAGTACCTCGTTATTTGACCCGGTGGTGACGTGCCTTGGTGATGAGCTACTTGGTGGCGAACTCCCTGGTGGAGAACTGCCTGGTGGCGAGCTCCCTAGTGGAGAGCTACTTGGTGGCGAACTGCTTGGTGGCGAACTACCGAGTGGCGAGCTCCCTGGTGGAGAATTGCCTACTTGGTGGCGAACTGCTTGGTGGCGAACTCCCTGGTGGAGAACTACCTGGTGGTGAGCTCCCTGGTGGAGAACTGCCTGGTGGCGAGCTCCCTGGTGGAGAGCTACTTGGTGGCGAACTGCTTGGTGGAGACTGCCTGGTGGCGAGCTCCTTGGTGATGAACTGCCTGGTGGCGAACTACCTGGTGGGACTCATCATTTGACCTGCTCCTAGGCGGCCTACAACTCAGAGGATGGTGGAGCTCCCTGGTGCAGAGCAACCCGACTGCCCTCTGCATGAGGTGATTTCCTCTCCTTTGTAGGCGACGGGAGATGAGGGACCTGCGAGAACTTAATCAGAGGACCCGAGGGTATTTTCCCGACGGGGACTCTCCGATGCCTAAGTTAGCATTCTGATTACAGAGAGCTTGGAGAGAAATGAGAGAGCTAGAGAGCAGGGGTTACCATCCTTTTTTCTCTCCCCTCGGCTTTGGGGGTCGGAGTCTTTATATAGTGGTGTCCTCGCGGGTTAGGTGGGTGAAAAGTCTTCAAACGGTAAGACTCGTCACATCCCGTCAAAACCGGGGTACGGTGGTGAACTCCTCGAGGTGGTCAGGCTGGCGCTTGTGTTAGGTGGCCAGGTTGGCGCCTGGGCCAGGTTGTCAGGTCGGCGCTTGTGTCAGTCGGTAGGTCGGTGTCTGGGTCAGGTTGTCAGGTTGTCAGGCAGGAGATCTTCCTACGATACGCTAAACTGCTCTTCTGTACCGAGCTACCCTATAAGTGGCGAGCTGCCCGGGGGAGCTATGCCGAGCTGCTTGTGGCGAGCTTTGCCGAGCTGCCTGGCTCCTTGGTGGCAAGCTCCTTGGAGAGCTGCCTAGCTCCTTGGCGAGCTCTTTGGTGA